TAGTCGTCTAATCATTTATACTTCAACCCATTCGAGTTTCTTCTAATTTCATCACTCTTCGCTAAATCTTTCATGCACCCTTTTATCTTCCTATCCAACCATCAATCTATTGATTTAAATATCTATACATTCATTCTTAACCTACGTATTATTTCACTCATCTTTAACTTTCTCAGTCTGTCAACCAATTCAATCATCATTAATTCTTACATATACATAACCATTCATTCGTTTCTCATTCTCTTTATCCAATCGTTAGCTTATCTAATCTATTATTCTATCTATCTGTACAACGATTGTCCCCCGGTGGGGCAGTGGTAGGTCTACGGACTTACAACGTTACAATCCCAAGTTCGATTCCCTGCGATAGACACAGTATATAGCCAAATGTGGCTTTGCTCTAGAAAACAAACTGTACGTCGATTGTCTATGTACTTGTACCTCCCATTATATATCTGTATATTCACCCGTCATTTAAAGCTGTCATATAACGATTTTCAATTTACTCAAAAAATATCTTATTTTGATACGTAACAAAACGATTACCTATACTACACTATTTCTAGGTTAATTAGTAACATACTGTTAAATTATACGAAATTCGCTCGTAAAATGATTAGATATACGGTTTGGTTGACCATGCGAACCAATTCACTGTCTACAAAACAGTGTATATTTATGATTTCAAGGGCCTGGCATGGCCTGGTGGTTAGAGAGCTCGAGTCGCAAACTGCGGGTTGCGGGATCGTAACCCGTCAGCCAACATTTGCTCTCCCTCTCAGCCGTGTTATTATGTGACGGCGAATCCCACCACTCTTTGGTAGAGAGTAGCCAAGATCTGGTGGTGGATGGTGTTGACTGGTTACCTTCCACCTTGTCTCGTGGTGTACGAACTGTGGTGCGCCTCCTCCCAAGGAGCATGCATTTATCACTATAGGGCCATATATATTATATCCGAAATTACATATTTAAAAGTACAGAAGTTTTAAAAACTACCGTACAAATATTGCTACTATTAAGTAATATAGCAACAACAATTAACACGGGAAGATAACATGTACGGTATATACACAAATTGTTTACTGAAGCTATCATAACTATGTATATGAGTAATCTATGTATGTGTGTGTGTGTGTGTTTTACACACACAAGACTCAGCCACGGAAGAGATCCATAAAACAGTCATATTCCCTGATCAAACTACGTTTCTGAATGCAGTGACAAATTATATGGTAAATAAATAGAGATATCTCCCACTTTTTATTTTGTTTATTTCTCATTTTGGTAATCTGAAGATCTACAGAAATGTTAGCGTGTTTGTTTTTTGGATATTTAAGTGAAGCTACTTAAGGTCGATTTGCCCTAGCGGTCTTTAATTTTGAACTGACAGACTAGATAGAAGGCAGCTAGTCAACACCACCAATTCATTGCCAACTCTTGGGTTATTCTTGTCTGACCGAATAATTTGATTCAACCGTCACAACAAAAAACAACAAAAACTAACAAACAAACAACAAAACTTTGTTTGTTTGTTGAACTTTGCGAAAATCTACTCGAGGGCTACTCGCGCTTACCGCCCCTAATTTTGAAGTGATAGATTAGAAGGAAGGAAGCTAGTCAACGCCAACCACCACCAACTTTTGGCCTACTTTTAACCAATTAATAGTGGGATTGACAGTCACATCATATCGTTCTCAGGGTTGAAAGGGCGTTGGGTTTCGATCCTACAACCCGCACTTTAACCATCAAGAAAATATTTTAACTGGGAGGAAGAAAACATCAAAAATTGTGAATAACTGTATTTATAAGCTGATGTCGGGTACGTTTAAAGATATTAAGTGTTTGAAATTATAACACTTACTTTTAGAGGCATTGAGTAAGTTCCTAAAATGCCTTTTATATTTACAAGTTTTAATACCAATTATCATAGGTTATTTTACAGTATTACATAACTATATATAAATGTTTAGGTTTTCGATAAACGGTTATTGTTTAGGTCGCACTGAATTATTCACTTAATTTTCGAAAATAGTTCTCTACGGTATCTTTAGCCGCGGCATAGCGGCTCAAAGAATGGCCCTGGGTTGTTTTTTTCGAGTACAAACTTTTAGCTCATAACTCCATCTCTTGACCTACTTGAGATCTAATTACAGCCGCGGCTATTGAGGGTTCCCTCTTGTTTACTTGTAGAAAAATCAACCAAAGAACCTGTGTAATAACGGAATGTTTAGATTAATAACTTATGATAGTAGTACAAGATAACAATGTGTAGTGAAATTATTTACAGCTGCAGGATAGGATTACAACGTTTAGAACAATCGTTTTAACATGTAACGTTTACCTAAGCTAGAGGGCTTGTGCAAATTTGCGACCTTCGTATATTCGGTTTACCAGGAAGACTTTAACTACATTTAGAACACCTCCACGAAAATTAATTTAAAAAAAATACCTAAGTATATTTAAATAATGATAGTAGTTATGAAATTGTACAATATGATATTAATGTAACAAAGATAATGTCTGGAATCTATGTTGGCCAGCCAAGAAATCTACTTAAAACTACTTTCCAAGAGGAATACCGTTCTATTCTACTTGGCCAGGTGGATAAGGCGCTCGACTCACAATCTGA